GCAAATAAAACTGCGCAAATGGAAGGGGGGAAAAAAAAAAGAAAAAACCGCGCGGCGACTCGCGTTGGAAAGCGACGTCGCCGATAGAGAAGAAACGAGCTGCGTTGATTTGACAGACTGGACTGGCGAGCATTTCCTTCTTTCTTTCATCGTCGAACACACTTGGCGGCGGCACATTCGTAGAATTCCCTTGTCGGTTACGCAACGCGGTTTCTTCGATAGCTTTTCCACTCGGCGAATTACTGGCCGAACGAGTGAGAAACGAGCGCGAGATGTCTACAACATCTCTGGAGAGACAACTGCGGTGAACTGCGAAATTTCGAAGTAATTTGTTCGCGCGTTGCGTGTTTAAAGAAGTAAATTACTCGATGCAACAAATGACAAGGGGACAACGCCGTTGATATTCCAAAGCGAGGAGACGACTGCTGAGTCTGCAAACCAACCGCAAAATATCACCCAATTAGTTTCATTATCCTCGTTACCCATTGGGCAAGCGAACACCACCCACAGCGACTCTTCCATCTTTTATTCTTAAATTCTGTTTACTCGATCTACGAAATTTGATTCATTTTTCAAACTTCGTCAAACATTTCTGATTATCGTGCGTCGAGCATAAGTCTTCTAATTATCGAAATGATCTCTCCAACTCTTCCACCAGTCGTTCAGTCGAGTCTCTGAAGCAAGCGTACGAACGAATCTCCTTCGGAACGAGTTTGTTGCGAAAATTGCTCCAAAAAAAAAAAAAAAAAAAAAAAACGAAAAGAAAAGTGCACGGTACGTTCGAGTGAATTGAAACGAACCGCGGAGGAATGGTTCACATGTCACTGTTACCGCGTGATGATTCTCCTCCGATTCGCTCTGTCACTGTGTTATCACGCGTTATCGGCGCGATGAAAATTGGGATCGGCGTGCACGATCGCGAAGTTTCTACGAGTTTCGAAGGACCCACTCGGCGCGCGCGTACGAGAGGCAAACGTACACCAGCGTGCACCGCACGACGACAGTCGATGAACTGAAGAGCCGTGTGGTTCCCGATAGACAGCGCTGTTCCCCAGCTGTTGGTGCCGCGCTTCGTGTGGCTAGCCGGTGCGTTCGGAACGCAACCGATATCTGGGTCGAGCCTTTCCACCCGGTGTGTGTAACTGCGTACGATCCGTGCAGTAACGGGCATTCGATCAACGCGGTTTCGTTTGCGTTTCCAAATGAATCGCCGAGAGGTTCTCTTCTCGCTGCTGACTTACGCCTTTTCTTCTCTTTTTTTTTTT